GGTAGGTGCTGAAGACGTTGGCTTTGGTCGGCGGGATGCCAGCCTGAGAGCGGTCTTGACTTGGTTCTGTATCAGAATTGTTGGGAGTTTCCTTTCTTGAGAGCGCCCCTTGAAATTGGTTTTAAGGGGAAACGACATAGGGAAACCCCCCCAAATTGTGGTAACCAATGTGAAAAGGGATCTCTCCGTCCACGTTCATTGGTTGTAAAATCGTTCGACAAGTAGAATGTGCATGTGTGTGTGTGTGCCCAGCCTGTTGGCACGCCGCTCGGCAAGCCTGCATGATGGAGTCCATGTCCTGATCAGAAGCCACTGATGATACTGATGAGTTTTACCATCTGCTTGGGATGACATATAGATCATGTTACTGCTTCACTCACTGACTCGGACTCTGCAGGCCTCGTTCTTGTAGAGGTTGGGGACATCTCCGGAGTTCAAGACGTTGTTGATGGCCTCCACCATTTGCTCGTTGACAATCTGCGTGTCCGCGAAGAGGAACGTAGTTTGCTTCTGCTCACTGCCGCACTTCATCAAGCAGGTCTTCAGGTCATCTTTGAACTCTGTCATGCCGTAGCCCTTAACCACATCAATCTGGAAGATTTCGTACTCCGACATGAAGCTGGCCAAACGCGACAGGGACTGGCGCCCGGATCCTCCCACGCCCAACAGCAGGGCATTGCCAGAGGGCTGCCTCAGCACACGGCAAACCCGGGCCACGTGCTCGCAGGCGTCAGCGAACATCACCAGCGGCATGGGCACGGCGAACATGTTGTTGTAGTCATCCAGGAAGCCTTCCATCACCGTCTTCATGGCACCCAAACTCTCCACCTCCGCATAGAACCGATCTCCAGAGGAGCTCATGAAGTCCGCAAACACCAGCCGGTCCTCCAGAAAGCAAGCCCCGAAACGAGAAAACGCAGGTAGGCGTTGTCTGACGCTCAGGTTTTGAACATCTGCCGACTTGGGTATTAAACCACAACCAAACTCCAAAATTGCGGCAAGCCACGGCTTGCTCAGAGGAGCCCCAAACTGCCAATCTGTCAGTGCAAAGAGTGTTTCATCAAACTGCAACAATAAGATGTCCCTCTTTCTGGAGCATAGTCATTCCAGGAATTTCTTCATCGTCCCCATCCCCTCCTTGTCGAAGATCTGCACGGGGCTCACTCCGAAGGGCCCGCTGAGGTGGTTCTCCAGCTTCCCCCGCAGCCAGGTGCGGTCCTCCTCCGTGGTCAGCCGATCCCCGTAGACCCGGATGTTCTCGTGGCAGAAGCAGCGGATCACCACCAACGGGTCGGAGACCTCCGCTGAAAAACGGGAAACAACTCCGTGTTTTCTCGCCGGAATCTCAAAAATGGAGAAAGGGGATGGATGAACTCTTGGGCTTGCCCTTGCAAAAATAATGGGGAACTGGGGGAACACTGAACTCTTGTGGAAATTGAGGTTGAGGTCTTGGGTTTGGACCTCAAAATGAGGGAAGGGGCCCCGGAAATGCTTGGTGCCCTTTGGGTTTACCTTCAAAAAAAGGAAGAGGGCTCTTCAAAAAATAGACATGGTGTTCGCACTTCTGAAAACCACACCTTCTTGGACTTCAGGGAGCAAATCCCTTGGAAGACCTTCCAAATGTCCCGGAGGTTGAAGGTGTAGTGGCTCTTGGAAGGCGTCGGCAACAAGTCGGTGCCGGCGGCTTCGAACATGTCGATGGAGCAGTTCACAATGTTGTCCTGCGAGCTTTTGTTTTGCTTTTTTTTTGTGTGAATGTTAAGTGGTTGGACCAGAAATGGTAAACATCTGAGTTCGGTGGGGATTCCTGTCCACCAGCCACTTTGCAGGTTCCCTATTAAAATTCACGGCCAATATTTGGTACGCAACATGATCCTCTCTGCGGGGAAGTATAGGGGATAAATTTCATGCAAACATCTCTCTTAATCTCTCTCTCTCTGTCTTTCTCTTGGCGCATGTGGACAGGGTCAGTCAGGCCTTGCCTTTCATCCAGGACAATGTGAGCTTGGCCAATGTCTACCCCCAATCCACTAAAAGCAAACCGGACGCACAGAAAGCTACCCGAGCTACCCCGTTACACCCCGGCAGTTCTGGGGCACGCTCACGCTTCCAGTCCTTGAGGTCTATGATGGATCTCTCGAAGCCCTGCTGCAAGAAGTAGTCCAGGATCGTGGAGAAGATGCCGAAGATGGACTCCCGGGACATGTCTGCCGCCACCACCGTATTGTAGTGCCTGTTCCGGGCGCCAAGAATCGGCGCAGTCGGTGCACAGCTTCGCTTTCACTAAGCAATCAAACACAGCACGTCTCAAACACACACTTGCACTCCGCAGCGAAAAGCACGTGTGCACAGAAGTGAGCCACTTCCTTGGTCCGCCCTTGGGCATCCTGCATTGGGCTCCCGTCTGAGCCTCTTCAGGCGCCCGGAGATCTCCGTGCGGCCGCCACCAGGAGGTCCCATGGCCGAGACGTGAACAATGTCCTTAGATTCCCACTAAAAACAAATGCTGACAGGAGTTCTTGCTCACCAAGGTTTTGCAACCTTTATTCAGGAGGAAGGTTCCTTATTTGGGATTCCTTTTAAAAGGTTGGCGAATAGTTGCCACGGTCATTCCCGCTGAGGATCAAATCAAAACTCTAGGGGAGGGGAATGTGGCTCCCAGGAGAGTGTTCTTCATGTGTACAGATCACATGCACACTCAGATTTTGCTCGCTTGGACCCTACAAGAATCATCCCCTCCCAACGAACACCCGATACAATGATCATGACTTTGGATCTCACTTTGGGCAGCACTGCACCCCTAAGGCCCTAAGAGTCCATTATCCCTGGGCTTGGGAGCGGGCGATGATCTCCTGCATCTTCAGTTCCTGGCCGGAGTCGTCTTCTTATGCCCAAAACGCGGAAAATGAACAGTTGGTCACTTGAGCACATTGACATGGTTATCCTCCAACCCGAGCAGACAGGGCTCATCAAATGCTTGACCAATCCCAAGTGGCTGGATATGGCTAAATGTAGAACCGTCATGTTACCCCCAAAATGGCGTACCCCTCTGCCATCGCCCGCCTTGCGGTTATACCATCCGTTGTAGTCCATCCATTGCCGGATGAGCTCAATGGGTGGCTGTGCCCCATAATACTCCTGCCAAGTCGCCCCGCAAAGTCCCAAGCGCTCGGATGCCTCTCCCATGTCAATTTCAGATAACCCCCAGCAAAACATAAAATTCGTCCTTCTTGGGCATATTCAGGTCATCGATGAAGATGACGTTCCTCTTGCCCGCTGGTGGACCTCACCCCACAAGCACTCGCAGGCACAGCCATGAGACCGAGCCGCGGGCCGTAGACGCCACGCCGGCGCTTCTCGAACTTGGAATCCAGGAGATCCTGGAAAGGAGAACCCCCCAAAAAAAATGGCTTATCTTTGGTTTCCCAAGCAAGCAAATGTTCTGTTTGCAGATGCTCAAGAAATCCGGCCTGAAGCTGGTTCACATGGGTCTGGGCCTTGATGGCAGGGCCAGTCAGCGCGGACTTACACATAAATCCACCAAGATCCGTGCAGAGAAGTTGATGAAGAGAGGGATGATGGATTCCGGCGCGTCCTTCTGCAGCCACAACCTTGCGCGAAGTCATGACGCCATCTCAATCCGAAGAAAACACCAGAGCAAGGCAATAATCCCGTCAACGAGCATACTTGGGATAACCCTCAATGCAACCAATTCGTCCAACCTACCAAAATGGCCATTGGGAATCGGTTGTGGGCGCTGGGCGGCACTGCACTGCCGAAGTTTGGTCTTGAGGCGTTCACGACAGGTACACCGACTTGCCACTGCCCGTCTCGCCCGCGACAATGACATGCTTGTCCTGGCGCTTACCAAGCATTGCCCAGCACTAAGCTTTGCAAAGGGGGGTCCCGAAACGTGGACCTTCTTTTGGCTGTCCAAACGAATATCCAAAGGACCCTTCTGCCATTTTGGGATCCCCTCTTTGAGGAAAATGCCAAACCTTTTGGTTGAAGAGTAAACTCTACCAAACTCTGCAGCCAATTTCGTTGCTGCCCTGAGCTCCTTCAACAACAGCGTGGCAAACGTGTGCGTAAGGCGGATGGAGTCCACTGTCGGCCTTCGTGGGATGGGCGTAACTTGCATGCTGAAAACCTTATCTGTCGCAAAGGTCGGGTTTGCTCGGCCCAAAGAAGGCATGAAGGGCGAGCTGAGGCAGCAGCACCACGATGTTCTGGTACTCAGAACCTCTCACCAGCTTCAAACGCCCAGTGCCCAGAGCTTCCAACGCACGCGCCAGTGGAAAGCATCCTCGGGCCCCTGCGAGGTGGCACCGTGTACTTCGGAGCCTCGGCCACAAGAAATACGGCGCACAAAGCAACGGAAACGAACCAAACTGCTTGAATATGTATGTTGGAATTGCCCACCACAACGCCCTTACACTGAGCTCGCAAGACGAAAAGTGCAACAAGTGACCGAGCAAGGCACCCAAGTCTTCCATGGAGTCCATTGGCCCTCGCGCTCGCCCTGCAAAGGCAATCAAACGGTGAGAAAGTTGAGCGGAGAGGGGTCAACTCTGTGCCTCGGTCTCATACACAAAGTCATACCTCGGGATTCCAACTGCCCACTCGTGTCAGTGCGCGGCGCAAAGCTTTTGCCACAGCCAGGTTGCCAGAACATGCTGTTGTCAATGTTTCCGCCGACCTGCCGACAAGCTGCTCAACACTACCAGCATATGTCATGTGGTTGTCGGTTGTCAAGTAACCCCATGCAACAGGCAAATAGTGGGACCCCTCGTCTACTTCTCATGGTTCTGAACACTCTTAGCCAGAATCACCTTGCCTCGGTGCCTTGCTCCTTGACTGCTTCCCACAGCTTGTCCTGACAGTGCGTATGTACAACATTCTCAAGCCACCCCAAACAAACTCACATAGTCAAGGGGGATGCGCGCAGAGGAAAGAACACAACGAGGACAGGATGCTGAACACATTGGCAGCTAAGCTGCATTGAAGGTCTGCCGGCCCTTGTTGTCGCAAGTAGCACCTTGTAGTCACATTGACACAAAACCAACATGCTCCTTGTGTGATGGTGGCTGGCACTCAGTCAGAAACGTGCTGACTAAGCATAGCCGTGCACGAAGTTGTCCGTGCAACAAGCAAGCTGAATGAGACGGAGCCCCAAGCCATACCGTCACTGAGAAGGCCGCCGACAGACCACACTAGGGTGAAGAAGTACAAAGGAACCAAGTGCGACCTGCGTGACAAAACACATCGGTCTCTCCTCTTCCCGAGACCCTTTACTTTTTCGATGGGTTTGGTGAACCCTTTGAACCCTTTGACCCTTTCCAGGTTGGTTAAAACAACAAAAAAGGAAAACCAAGGGAAATCCACACGTTGATCCTCACCGCTCACGTAAGTGCACGGCTGCAGCTTGTTGATCTCATCCGGGCTCGGGGTCTTGGCCTCCGTGGGGATGTACTCCGAAAAGTAGCAGTCCATCAGCCTGCCGCTCGTCGGTTTGACTTCTCAACATGAGCGCGGCTTGGGATGGTAGGGAAACCACAAGGAAACCGCCCAGTTTTAGTGGTTGCCGATTTTGGGGTGTCGCTGTTGGATGGTTCTAAGGAGCACCGAAAAGTAACAAGCTATTTTAGGGAGGACGTGCCAGGCCTGAAATGCGACTCACAAATGTTGTTGTCCACAGTCATCGAAGGCTCCTGGCTCCACAGTCATTGAGGTTTCGAGGGGGCATTCTCTAAAAAATGCCCATTCAATTTGTGTCAACCTGGCAGGCTTAGAAGCTTGCCAGACACGTCAAGCAGACCCACTGTTAATCGTTCTATCCTACAAGCGGCCCAGTTAAGGGCATTCACGGGGACGCCCCACAAGGATGACAAAGAAGGCAGCAGGATTCCAGCACTATCGCCCAAGGATAAACTCTGGGATAGACTATGTTCCAAAAGGAGGAATCGCAGGTCATCCTGTAAGAGAACAGTGTGGTTTATTCCTGGGATTGAATCATTATGCAAAGTTAAAAAGTGGCGGGCTGTTTGTGCATACATCAGGAAACCTGCTTTGCCATGGCCTTGGTCAGCTTGCGAACGATCCGGATCATCGGCAACGTGTAGGCCTGGATGAAAGCTCAGGGCTGGACGAGAGTACGTGTCAAAATACCCCCCTCCAGAATAATGAGGTTTTACGTTTAGTTTCCATTTAAACCAACCGAAACAAGGTACAAGTACTCGCAAAAGACGCACTCCGGAGATGCATGATCTAGCCGCTTCTAGCCACCACTTCACCGCGCATCCAGTTCTCTGCATGCTGGCAACTTGCTCCGGGGCCCATACCAACATGAGTTCCTTGAGCTTGTCACACATCTCCTCAAAGGATGACAAGTACGATGCCCCATTCTTTCACCCATCGTTCTTTTCAAAGGTCAAATTTCCATGCGCTTCTGGCATTGTCGGGAAAAGAAGGATCCCTGGAAATTGGGGGAAGCACCACTAAACGTCAGATTGCTTGAGCGACACTTCCGGATTCTCCTGCTTGAAGGTGGACGGCAGGCGTTCCACCCACGACCTCGAGCCATCCTTCTCAAGATCACACCGATCTGAGAAGCGCACTGAGAAGCGCACTGAACCAAAGGCTCGTTGCCCAAAGCAGAAGGCTCCATGTACACCTCATGGGAATGAAATGGAAGGCCGTACATGGTTTATGGCTAGGCGGTTCCAACCATTAAGACTCAAAACCATCCTGTGCTTTAATCTTCCTAGGACCCTTGACCACCTTTCCTGGGTGTTTGGCAAATGGAGACCAAAAGGAAACAGGACACCATGAAAATGCGCCACTGGGAAGCGCGCCATGCCGCATCGGCTCACCGTGGCAGGCGATGCCACTGACAGATCCTCCACTTCGAACACCATCCTGGCAGTGCCACAAATTGTCTGATAGTCAAGCCATACATTGGAGCCAACCAAAGACTGTGGGCTCATATTTGCGCCTATTGATGGTTGAAGCTGGGGGGAGAGGCATTGTCAAACACTGGCTCAGGCCTCATTTGCGGAGTCAACGAGATGATTTCGCCAGAGGTCAGGCAAAGCTTCTTGTTATCATCCAGCACGGTGTTCATGGACCTTAGCAGGTTGGATGTCAGCACAGGGACTCTTCCAAAAGCTGTGTATGTGTGTTTGTATGCGTTTGTATGCGGCTTTGAGCATGGTGCGTGTTGAAACCACTCAAGAACATGGAGCAAAAGTACTCATACATCACCTAATCCGGGCTCCTGGCTCAATCCATAGGGCATCCACCGGGCCATCAAAAATCACCTGGGTACACAAGGAATGGGGACGGATCAACAGGTTCGGAATCCCTTCCAACTGATTGCTGTCCTCTTGATTTCCTTTCTGATTCGACTGCAAAAAGGAGGTTCCCGCTTCCGACTCAGGACGGGGCACAAAGAAGATTGGGGCAAAAGCGCACTAGCCCCTAAACGCTGGGCAGGGACAGTCTAAGTCTGGGGCCCAATGGTTGTCAGCACATCCTGACTTGCCGCTGGCCACAGCTGTGCGTACCTTGAAGGGCTGACCATGGCAGCAAGTGATTCAACTATCTCTCGCTGGCAAACCAATCGCAAGTTAACCGGGAGAAAAAGGAAAAAACGCAAGCGAAAAGGGATCTTCGATCCTGTGATTCTCAGCCTCCCACGCATTCGCTGGCCACGCCATCGGACCACTCGCGTGTGATCTCGTCGAAGGCTCCGTACAGCTGTGCCTCAACTTTTTGGAGCCGGAGACAAGGCCACGCCGGGCGCTGCACTGCCCTCCGGATATTGTGGCTGGTCAAGCTGCTTGGAAGCCAAAACTGAGAGTATCTTTTCAATGCGCTCAAAAGTGACCCGTGCCTGAGTAATGGCCTTGGGGTTCAGGATGTGGGTCTGCACCTTCTGATACTTGGTGTCCCCGGCCTCACGCGCTTTCCATAGCAGCGAGACATGTGCGCCTTCATCCGAGCCCCGCATGGCGTGCCCCCTTCTTTTTGTGTGGAAAATTTGGGCGAGCACCCCATGGCCTGCCATGCTCACATGAAACGCCCATTGGTTGGTCATGGAAGCTTCGCTGGACGCGAGACCTTGCAACGGTTACGGTCAACTGTCGCATGTACCCTGGGAGTGTAACCTTGCAAACTAGGGCATACTGGACTTAACTTATAATCATTTATATCCACAAATATCCATAGATAGTGTGTGTGTGTAAGTTTTGTGTAGCATAGAGTCAAAACGGCGGGTACTGTCGCAGTATACCGTGTACTATCCACAAATATCCATAGATAGTGTGTGTGTGTATGTTTCTGTATAGCATAGAGCCACAACGGAGGTACTGTCCCAGCATACCGTATATACCGCGCCACTCATTAGTTCTTGATACCGTCACCACAAAGCCTAGGCCTAGGTGTTTCGATGCACATCCTCTCACTCACAACCCTGGTCGTTCCGGTGGCTCGCGGTAGCGGCCTCGCACATGGCGATGGAGGTGGCTTGCAGCAGCCGGTAGTTGCATGTCTTGCCGCCTGCACGCTGGCAGCCCCAAACACTGCCCGAGGGGCGCTTGCGGGACCTGATTGCGCGTTGCTCTCCTTGCCAAGGTTACAAGAGGGCCCAAAGTCTCCGTTCGCTGACTTCTCCAGCCTCCAGTTGGCCCCACCAACATGAGCCCGTGCCGCACTCCGATGGTGTCAATGAGCTGCACCACCTAACGATGCCGTCGGGATGAGAAAAGAAAGAAGACCTGACTTTCTGCTCTTGACGTAAAGATCGTCTTCTTTTGAGGGAAACTTCGTGGCAAAATGGAAACCAAAGAGAACTGCAAAAAATGTGGACGGTTCGAGGCCCAAACCTTTTGACACACCCACAGGCCGAACAGCGGTTGTTTCCTCTGGCCGTATCAACGGCTCTTGGCTTCGTTGCACAACACCCGGCCTTCACAACAAAGTTGTCCGTGAGCTGGAGGTTCTGCTCCTGGTGCCCACCCACCCGACATGCAACCCACGGGTTCGACACGGGAGTGTACCTCTGAGATTGTTGGCAAAACAGCTTCAACACGTCTCGAGCTCGGGGCCTTCCAACTTCAAGGCTCAAAGCAGAACTACCCCCCACAAGAGTCACACAACTAACTGGCGGCTCCTTGCCACAAGCCTCCATCACAGGAGTGAGGTTGCCGTACTCAACCACAGGCCGGTCTGTGGTGGGGAATAGGTCTGAGATGATGTTCCTCGGATGCCATCCATTCGATTCTGGGTCAATGGTATGCTCCCGTCGCATGCTAGGATGCAGGCTCGAACAGAGGCAGGTCATCCTGAAGCAGGTCCGAGCGTTCCAGCCAGGGCGCGAGTTTGGCCATGGTTGAAATACCAACACATGATGTGCCCAAAATTTTCTTGATGGGAGCGTCCGTCAAAACAAAAATAGGCCCAGGTGGTATTCCGAACCTTCCGGAACCTTCCCTGACAGCAGCTCCAAACCACTAGAGCTCCATTGGGCAGAGACGAAAAGAAGGCTTGTCTCCAATTGGCAAGAACTCCTCCCCCGATGTCCGTTTGCCTTGCGTGGGTGTAGGAACTCAAGACAAGTACTAAATCAAACCCCTCAAGCCCCAAGAAAGCCGACCGATGGCAGCTCCTAGGTCCTAAGTCTTTACTCCTGGCAGACGTGCGCGTCAGGCCCGCCTTCAGGAACTTGGGCACGTTCACATCCCGAAGCGCCCGCAAGGTGATCTGGTCCTCTGGTAGGTCACCCACCTGCCGACGTTTGCAGAGAGGATTGGGAGGGGGGGGCATAAGAGTTCCGTTTTTGGAGCAAACACGGTAGAATTCAACCTCTCTCCCAAGGGAATCGTTGGTGTGCCAAAAGCTGGCTGGGCCCTTGTTAGGTTGTTTCGGGTCAGACTACAATCTTCTCCCTCACTTTGTAGCTTCCTGCTGGCTTGTTTCTTTTGTTGCAAGGCCTGTGGTACATGCACGTGGTTTGTGCAAATCCCAACGCATACTTTCGGGGAAGGAGGTACAGTAGATTTGCTCCACAGCCATCTGTCCGCAAGGCCTCCCGCTTCAGCTTTCCGCACATCTCAATGGTACTTTTCACGGCGCGCATGCCGTAGTCGTAGTGGAACCTGGACCCACGCAAGATGAAGCCAATTCGGCGCACGGCGTCCATTCATTTCTGCTACTGTACTTTGTATGGCTCTCACCACTTCCCGCGTTCAACTCAGCTCTTGGCTGTGAGGATAGCTGCTCAGATGAGAGCGTGAACGTTGTCACCTTGGCGGCGCGGCGATAACGCCCTGCAGTATGACTGCTGATACTAGTGTGCCTTGCTCCCAGAACAAGCCAGCAAAAAGCTGTCAAGATAGTCCCCAGAAAAAAAGTGGTTTTCCTTTTAGCTTCCTTTGAACAAACCCAAATAGATGAGCACACCACCACTCGGAAAATCCGCAGCGTGTAGATGGCAGTCCGCAACTTGGTCTTCCTTCGGATCTCTTATCAAAGCCGAAGGCTTTTGGGGCTGCCATTTTTTGGGCATGGTGCGCTGGGTGTCCAAAACCCTGTAATTGTCCAGCGTTTTTGGGGCTTGCCTGCTAAAAACCTGCGTTTCGCCTAGGTCTCTAGGGGCGGGGGGGGTTCCCCCGGACGCGCAGGATCTGCATCCCCAGCATCAGCAGGGTTACCTTGCTGCTATGAATTCGTCTCTTTTTTGCAGATACTAATGGTGTTTTGCTGCTTCAAGCGATGTTGGAATCGTCCTGTTCGGGGTCTGCGTGGGGCCAAGTGCAGTGATACGTTGAGGAACTGTTTGAATTTGCAAAAATGAGTGTTTTTTGCAATTCCCCACCTGTACGGAGCAGTTACTGCGAAACATTCCCTGCATTATCCTGTTTTTGGAAGTCTATTGCTGGGGTATTTGAAGGGGGTTGCTAGTATCTGCTTTTGATGGTTGATTTTGGGAAAATATCATTTGTGGCCAGCCGGCTGCATTCCCAGCATTCCCGACATCTCTGGTATTTTCTGTGTTACGTCAATTTTGCGTGTCTGAAAGTCTTGAAATGTTGGATGCGAAGATTGGGTCTGTTCCTGTACGGTGTGTGGTTGCATCCCTTGCATTTCCAGCATCCCCAGCATCTGGGACATGTTTCCTGACTGAAAAATAGGAAAGTGCCAAGAAGGCCTTGTTGTGGCACTTTCAGACTTCCACGAAAAAGAAAACAGGTCATAAAATCCCTTGCACCCCACTGGCGTCGGCGGATCGCGTAGCGATTTCAATAATGCACTGTCTGTCAAATTTCGAGCACGGGGCCATCTTCTTTGCCAGGACCTTTGCCTCTGTGAAGCCGTAAGCATAGAACCTTCGTGGTGCACGCAAAGCAGCCACCCAATGAGAGCTGGTCTCGTCCCATTCCAAAGAAAGCAAGCGTGGAATTGGTCCAGGGCTGCTGCATGATCTCCCCGATGAGGGCGTAGTCTGGCACCATCATCGCCTAAGCAAGAAGAGTCACAGGAGCCCTGGCCAAAAGTACTGTGTTGATCTCGATCATGAGTCTTTGTGGTGCCTTCCATTGCCCACACGGGTTTGTCTCTGAATAGGCAAATTCGTGAAACTTGTGGATTCTCTGTGATGTCCCTCCAACCCAAACAAGACCACATCTCATTTGGACCCCCCCCAAGAAATCCTTTGAGCAACAATGGAACCGCACTGAATCCCTGAATCCGGTTTGCTTTCCATCTACGTTTCAACCGGACCTCCGCCCTCCGGCTGCCTCAGCCCTCTGGGTTCAGCGCCACTGGTCGGAAGAGGGCCGCCAAGTTGTCCGGGAGCTCCGCGCGGCCAGCGTAGCCTGCGGAACGCGGGGCTCTGCCCACGCCGGACATCATGGAAAAATCAGACGGATGGTCAAGTTGGGAGCCACCTGTCGTGACGGATGTGTGTTGCTGACTTGTGGGAGAAGCGGTTTTTTTCGCGGTCACAACGGGCAACCAAATTGGCCACGTTCAAACGGCACGCCCTCAAGCGTTTGGCGCAAGCTACAAACAGCTGATCCAGACTCCAGCCTACCTGGATAGGAATTGTACTTGTGAATGGACCCTTGGTGGACCTGGAAAAAGATATGGTTGGATTTATGTATGTCTACCATATTTAAAGGCATTTCAACCTCTGAGTTTCATCCGATTATGGGCGGCGCCCTAATCCACGGAAAATATCTAAAAGAGAAGAACAAAAAACACCAGCCCCCCCCCCTCGCCTGGGTTCATGGTGATGAAGACATTGAAGGTGGGCTTCATCACCTCGAATGTGGCGTGGCTTCGGGTATGCGTCACAGTTGTAACTCTAGCTGCCTTTATTAAATTGGAAATCCTGAGTCGTCCCATTTTCACCTTCCGTGTCGCTATCAAGTTTGCTCTCATGTTGATTAATACATAATATGTTGTACTTCAGGCGTTTCAAGGATTGGCCGATTTTCTTCTAATGCTGCCTTCTTCTCCAAACCCTGGATATGTAGATTCATTTTTAATATGCATCTTTATTATCCATGGAGCTTTGGCCAAGAGGGCATCACTCGTTTCTCCATTGACTTGGGCGAGACCCGAATCTTCATGTCCCAGAACTCAACGTCTGAGCGTGGCGCAATGAGAGTCCCTTCAAACTCCAGCTCAACCGTGTCGTTGTAGCTGGCGAGCCTCGCTGAAGGCCAGAAAAGGGCACACAACTTGAGATGGCACCAACATCCCGCACTTGGTTCTATCTGAAGTCGAATTTGTAACCACAAGCCGTGCACTTGAGCTGCGCCCAGGGGTTGAGGACACATTGCCGTCACTGCCCAGAGCCATGCAGCCAAGCAGCTCTGCCTTCCTGCCTGAGCGCAAGTGCTATGAGCAAGTCGGTTGTCAGCGGACTTTTTCTTGGAGGGCACCCCTGCACAAAAAGCCGAGTCAGTTCTGTTCTTCCTTGTTGGTCAAGGTGAAGTCCCCACTTTCAGAAACCACCCATCTGTGAAGCCAAGGCTCCAAAGAGCACCATGAGCTGCTGGGCAATGACGGAAAGCACCTCCGGACACTCGCTACTTACCCCTTTGGGGTTGTAAAAAGGGGAAACCTAAAGGTACCAACCTTTTGGGGGGTCTTTTTCTGTCCATCAACCATTTCGGGGGCTGGACCAAAAGGTGTTTCTGACACTGCCCGCCTCAATGTTGATGCGGTTGAACTCATCAAAGCAGCACCAGGCACCAGAGAATGCCAAGCCTCACACATGGTGCCCAGGGTCACACATGGTTTTGTCAGCCATGACTAGATAGGAAGTTGCAGACCCCAAAACAAATGAAACCACAGGGGCACACACCAGTTCTTCCTAAAGTGCCAGTCTACATTTTCGGTATGCGCTTTACTCAAGCCTCCGTATCAACAACTCCCAGCCGAATCACCACCTGACTTGTGTGTGTGTGTGTGTGTGTGTCAAAGTAGGGGACGCCCAAAATGGTGGCTCTCCTTTGGTATGGCTGCCCGCAACCAACCAACCTGAAAATGGATCCTCAAAGCAACACGCGCGACCGCTCGGCCGCTCGGCGAAAGCGCCTTTGAAGAACTTCCCCACCATGATGTAGTCCATCTCCGGTGAACAGTTGAAGACCACGCACTGCTTCGCCAGAGCCTGGTAAACAGCGCATCTGCCGAGTCCAGGCTTCATGCTTGGGCACCCCTTTGGCGTCCCATGAAAACCAACAGAAACGGGACACAGGGAGGAACCACCCTTTTCGGATGTCCGATTTGGATTTCCGGGGTTTGTCTGAAAATGTGCTGTACCTGGTGCCATGCAGACTTGCACGCAATTGTCCTAAACCAATACCGCAAATGACTAAAGCGAGCGGCGGCGCGGATAACACCCGATCCTTCGCCAAGTCCTTGGTGGTCTCCGTCTTCCCTGTGCCTGCTGGCCCGGCCTCATACAGCATGAGGCTCAGATCAACCGACTTCCGCTCATCTCCCTTTTCACTGCATCCATGTGGATATTTGCCAAATTAGTGTCCGGACCCCCGAAATTGTGGTTTGCCATTTGGTTTCCCTTTAAACCAAGGCGAAAAGCAAAACACAACAAACACCAATGTGGTCAAATGACCCCAAAAAGAGGCCGCCACTCGCCAAAAAACAGATCTCATCTTTCAGTCAAAAACGAAGGCGTCGAGATCCGACGTCCCCGGCCGGCGCGCCGCCAAGGCTGAGAGACTGGGCGCCCATCAGGGTGATGTAGCACCTGACGCACAAGAACCTGTCAATGGCCCTGCACAAAACCCTGCACTTGAAGTTGCCGTTGACAGGACCCAGTATATGACACTGAACCCAAAGAGCTGTCTGTACTGGTTGATCCCCATACAAAAGACCCGAGACAACTTGACTTGGCGTGAACGGTGTCGTCACAGTGGTGTGCTTTGGTACCAAGTCGGAATCGACAGGCTTCAAAGCATCCTATGACAAATCGAAAGATCAAGCGCCCCCACATGTCGGTCAATGGAGTAATCACCAGGCGCATGGAGTTTCCCAGGTACTCATAGCCTCAGTCTTGCCCCGAATTGAGAGCGCCAAATATGCGAAGGCAAGGCAGCTTCAAACTACTTCTGCGATCCAGGCCATAAGGAAAGGATGTCTGAACGCACTTCACCTTGGAGCTGCCGAGATCGTCTCTGGACGACAAGAGCACTTGAAAAGGGAAGTGCCCTTTGATTTGTTGGGAGCCCAACCTAAAATTCGGGACCCCTGTATATCATTGGTTTCCTCTTGGATCCCTTTACAACAATCCAACAAGTGGTTCACGATATTGAGACAAACCCGCATGACTGACACCCTTCCATATCTTTGTACATCACCTACTGCCACATCCACCACAAGCACCGCAGCAAGCGTTTCCCTCTCTTGGAGCAATCACCAAAAACCTTGAGTCCGCTGCCCACATGTTCTCCTGTCCTCGGTCATCCATTTCCCAGTAGTAGCGCAGCTGCGAGATCCACTCGAAGGAAGACTGCACGGGAGATGGAGACGCTATGTTGATGCATGCGTCAACTTACACATATACGGCCTTATCCTTCACTTCCTGCTCGACGAAATTCCAAATCACATCCTGCAAGAGAACATCAGGTGTACTGGCTACAACCCATCCATGCACCGCTCCTTTGCATGGACATCGATCACAATCAAGGCGTTCATAGTCTTTGTCTGCAGCTTGTTCACCTACAAACACGACATGAAGCTGAAAGAGCATGTGGCTCTTTTTCCTCACACACACACACGCGCGCGAGCGCGCACTCCTGACATTGGCATTCGAAAGTCTCAGCAAGGGACCCCTTTGCGCAGAAGCATGATCAAGTCCAGAATTTGTTGTGAGAGCTTCTTCGCGTAGTCGCCCAACTGGGAAGCAGAAGGCACACACATGTGTGTGTGTGTGTGTGTGCGTGTTGTTTTTGTGTTTTTAAGCGTAGTTTGAAGTAAAATCAACAGGAAGCCCACCATCTGCGGGCTCGGTATTTGGAAAAGGGGGTCTTCTTTGAGGTACACTTTGAAGGATGGTTTTAAAGGGGAACTAAAAGGACAACCACATTTGAGGTGCAACCATGGTGACTTCCGTCTCGGATGATTCCCTTGCTCTCAGGCAGCGGCGAAGTTGCCATCGAAGGCAGCCTCCACCTCTGAGGTCCAGAACACCTCAAGGCGCCCTTTGCATCGAAGAAACCGCATGGCAAATTCCTAATTTTCCTAATTAAATAGAAAAAATAGAAAAAATAGGAAAAAATGCCCTCGAAATTTATATTTGAACATATTTGGCAAACTCTCTGAATGTCCTGCAACTAGAAACTCTATTGCGGAAATGGCGTTCAAAGGGAACTGGCCATGCCCTTGTCAATTTGATTTGCCAGTGAGAAGCACCAGGCTTGACATTGACCAGCAAGACAAAGTGGAGTCATCAAGCATGTCATGTTCAAGACAAGGACTCCGAAGGAATTGGCATTGCAGCATTGTCAATCTGTCTTCTCTGATCCGACTGGCCTGGGACCCATTCAGCACGATCTGCGCGGGGTTGGCCAAAACCCAGTCAGTGCGGTCCATGGTCGGATATGAGCCTTTGGAGCAGGAAGCTGTCTTGTTGGGCGCCCAAAACAACATTCAGCACCAGGCCGATGCCCAGATCCAGCGCATTGCCTGGACAACAAATGCGCGGCAAATGCTGCCCACTTCAAGCGATTGGATAAGCGCAAACAAGCGACGGATTGCCATGCACATCCCGTCTTGGAGGTCGCCCATCCAAACTTCCACTGCCTGCAGATTCAACAGATCGGCCATGAGGCAAGAAGTGTGCCTGCCTTTTGGTGAGTCACCACTGGGGTCGACATCTCCACTTGCTCCGATTCTGGAGATATCTTAGCCCGCGGGCCGGTGTCATGAATACGATGCATGGCGTTTTGAGGCTGAGGCCATGTGCGTAACCTCATTGTCTGAGGTGAAGGTGACCTGAGAGCTCCCAAATACTTCGCCCAGGACAAGCAGGAGCTTGGAGTCAAAATTGGACCGCCTTTGGGGGAGAAAAAAAAAAGCATCTTGACAATCCTCAACTCAAGGTCTCAAGCCTGGGCACCCCGCTTTTGACATGGCCTCGAACACTTTGGACAAGAACGGCTGAACTCTGGTGGGATCCTCAAGCTGAGTCCGCTTGGACTTCACTTGAGCCCTGGATGTGGGAAACTTGCTACAAGTAATGGTGTCTGGGCCTCAGGGGCTCTGCCTCTCTGAGAAACCATTGCCGACTACGATGTGGGGGCGTCATTTGTTGAGACCCTTTTCGTGGTTGGTCTAAAGGGATAGCAAAGAAATTCGAACATGTTCTGGGACTCCTCTTGTCGCGTCTGCACAACTTTTCTGCGTATTCAAACAAACGCTTCAACCGCCACTCCGGCCAGTCCTTTGTCTGCGACAGGATTTCCAACAGCTCATCGTTGGAGAGGAAATAGAAGCGTGCAAAGCCATTCCTCAGTTCACACGCTGACTGGGGATCTCTACAAATTTGGAAGTGCACCGTCATCATGAAACAGAATTCGAATACTAGAGTGCCTTGCGAGTCACTGCGAATCTGGCAGACATTGGATCTAAGAAAGCGACCGCTTGGTCTCCAAGTAGTCCTGGCCATGGGAAATGTCATAGGAAAAAGACACCCGTTGGTTCTTCCGAAAGGTCAAACAAGGTAAAAGAGATGTCATGTTTCCTGGCCCGGCTCCGGTCTCTGGTTACCTGCCACATACCCATGGCCTCCTCATGAAAATCAAAAGCCTCTTAGCTCTTCGTTCCCCACTCTCAGCTCTGTGTCCTCCAGCCCTTTCTGCACCATGTCCAGTGTTACCTGGCAAGCTCCCATATCAACGCAGCAAATGAGAAGGCGAAACACCCAACTGGGTAGAGCCTGCATATCAGATGTGACAACAAGAGATTCCATTCGAGGCCTGCTTGCAAAAGAGACCCAAAAACACACCGGTTTGTTGAAAGCAACACGCCTCGCAGAAGGGTTCCGTTGAGGCAATCCTCCAAAGATATGCTCTTGGTTTTCCACCGTCCGATTCAAGCGTGGCAGGCGCGCGTTGCACTCCCGCCATTTCTCAAGAAGCCCTTCCGTGGCGCAAATGTCGATGATCTTCGGGTTCTCCCTGGTGTTGATCATCTCCTGCGTACTGGAAGGGATTGAACTCACCGCGCCAGGGAACCTCCGAACCCTTACACAGGGCCCAAAGAGCAACTCTGCCAGGGTGTTTGTAGATCCCATTCGGTTTCTGGAACCGGTGTGACTTCGGGTGAGGGATCAAAAAAAACTGTTTAGGCATCAAAAAAACTTATTTCTGAAGATCAAAAACAAACTTGTTAGCGATCAAAACAAAATATTATCATTGATTTACTATTAAAATGAAACATCAGAGCATCAAAAAAAACTTTGGGGGGATCAAAAAAAACTTATTCATTTCGTGGCAGGCGAAGCACTTTCGCAACGTCAGGTACAGATTTCGTGGCAGGCGCGGCACTTTCGCAAGGTAGGCGCAATGCTTTCGTAGGTCAGGTACAGATTTCGCGGCAGGCGCAGCACTTTCGCAAGGTGCGATACAGATTTCGCGGCAGGCGCAGCACTTTCGCAAGGTCAGGTACAGATTTCGTGGCAGGCGCAATACTTTCGCAAGGTCAGGTACAGATTTCGCAGCAGGCGCAGCACTTTAGCAAGGTCAGGTACAGATTCGCGGCAGGTGCAGGACTTTCGCAAGCTGCGGTCCAGATTTCGCGGCAGGCGCAACACTTTCGCAAGAGGTACCAATTTCGCGGCAGGCGCAGCACTTTCGCAAGGTACGGTGCAGAGTTTGACGCAGGGGCAGCATTTTCGCAAGCAGTGAAGAAAAAAAACAGAGATGTAAACATGAAAAAAAGGAGAAAACGGAGAGAGAAAGCGAGAAAGAAAGAAAGAAAGAAAGAAAGAAAGAAGGAAAGAAAGAAAGAAAGAAAGAAAGAATAAAAAAAAAAAGAAAAAAAGAAAGAATGAAAGAAAGAATGAAAGAAAGAAAGAAAGAAATAATGAAAGAAAGAATAAAAGAAAGAAAGAAACAAAGAAAGAATAAAAGAGAGAGAGAGAGAGAGAGAGATGATTCGAGGAAGTGATGATTCAGCAAAGGGCGCATTAAGCTTTGTATACATTCTGAAAATCAGCGGGGGGATTGGGGGGGGGCGGCAGCCCCCCCCATGATGTTCGAGGAAGTGATGATTCAACAAGGGGTGCATTAAGCTCTGTAAGCATTCTACAAATCAGCAGGGTGGTTGGGGGGGGCGGCAGCCCCCCCCATGATGTTCGAAGAAGTGATGATTCAACAAAGGGTGGTGATGATCGAAGAAGTGATGATTCAGCAAAGGGTGCGGTCATCTTTGTAAACATTCTGAACATCAGCGGGGGGGTTGGGGGGGGGCGGCAGCCCCGATGCTCGAAGAAGTGATGATTCAACAAAGCGTGATGATGATCGAAGAAGTGATGATTCAGCAAAGGGTGCGTTAATCACTGTCAACCTTCTACAAATCAGCGGGGTGGTTGGGGGGTTCCTTCCTTCCTTCCTTCCTTCCTTCCTTCCCCTTCCTCTTCCTCTTCCTCTTCCTCTTCCTCTTCCTCTTCCTCTTCCTCTTCCTCTTCCTCTTCCTCTTCCTCTTCCTCTTCCTCTTCCTCTTCCTTCCTTCCTTCCTTCCCCTTCCTCTTCCTTCCTTCCTTCCTTCCTTCCTTCCTTCCCCTTCCTCTTCCTTCCTTCCTTCCTTCCTTCCTTCCTTCCTTCCTTTCTTCTTTTTTCCGTCCTTCCTTCCTTCCTTCCTTCCTTCCTTCCTTCCTTCCTTCCTTCCTTCCCCCCATAGGAATGAGCATAAGTTGTTGTTTGATGCCTAATAAGTTTTTGTTGATGCCTATCCCTGTGACTTCCGGGTGTTCAGCCTTCCTCTTGGGTCATTCGGCGCCTGTCGCCAGGTGGCGTCCACGTGTTTGAAGCGCTTGCCTAAGACGGCACTTGAATTCAAATGGAAGTCCCAGCGCTACAAGCTGATGGCCTTCCGTGGGGAGCTGCCGCATGATGTCCTTAGTAACTTAGCGGTTCCCAAATGTCTCGGGGGTCTTATATTTCCACCGTCAGTATTGCTAGTGTCCCCCAACGACATTAGATTTGGCCAGTCCCCCCTCCCCTGGCGGCAGTTTGGGAAGTGTGCCCAATGGCATCCTCTTCACACAGTAAATGATCCTAGCAAAACATGTCACAAGCTTGCCTTAGCATGTATGCCAATTGCCTTACGAGTAGCATCTGAATCAAAGATCGGCTGCAAGTACATCCATGCCTTCTGGCATTTCAACCTGCCAGGGTCTTATTATTCAGAGTCAATGAACTTCAGCTGGCATCCCAGGAATGCGGCGTGCTTTAACAATGCCAGTAGCTCCATTCTTCCAAGGTCTCCGACACCCGCATGAGTCGTGCATTCCACCTAGGACAAAGATGACGTTGACAAGCAGTTGCCCTCAAAACCAGCCACTTGAACACCGCATGGGAGCGCACTCATCGATGTCCTCTTCGAAAGGACCTTTGAAGGTGGAAAACATCATCGCCTGCAACGAAGAAGGTCGCTCTGCGCTCAGTCGGCATGCATAGTGACATCCTCAAAATGAGGTGCCAATTGGTAAAAATTAATGGGGTCTCACCACTCCCAATGCCTGGGTGGTCACAATATGCTCGTCCAGGAGCACCATCGCCTCGAGCCGCCAAGAAGGAACACGCCCTCCCGTACGGGTGCTTAGCACCTTTCTTTGCACCAAACCTTCCTGAACAGATTGCAATTCCTGGATCCCTTCCCAAAGGTCCCTCCTCGCCGTCGCCCTTCAACACGTAGGTGCCGGTCTTCCTGGGAACTCGCATCCGGCGCCAAGCCCCACAAACGCAACATCCGATCCGCCGGCCTGTACTTCTCGGAGAGGTCGAAGGACAAGGGCTCCCAGTCAGCCTCAGGAGTCATAGCCCTTGCGTGTGGAGTGTGGCCTTTACATGTCCACCAAAGGCGTCCACCAAAAAAAGACCTAACAACTCCGGCCTTCATTTTGTTCAAGGTCTTTTCGAGGCCGTACTCTTTTCCTGCTCGGTCACCCACTTCGGCCACCTGCGGTTTTGCCCCCGGCCCAGGCAGTACATGGCAAATGCAGTGCCTCGTTGGCAAAGTTCAAGAGACCAACGTCCAGCATCCTGCACCATTCTGAGCATCTTTTGGTCCAACCATTGCTTCTTTGTTTGGCGTTTTCTTGAAACAGGATCCTCAAAAGAACTCACCCTTTGCTCCCATAAGCACACTGCTATCCCTCCCGGCCCCGTCTTGCCGGAAAGCCGGAACCTGGAGCCGTGCGGTGCGTCTCACTCCTCTGCAAGGTGAAGCCTCCATCCATGCCCGGACCCACCTGCACGCTGGACCTAGGCACATGCATCCAAAGGCGGCGCTCGCAGGCAAACTGGGAGCCCGGCTTATCCGAAATCTGCTCCTGTCATGGCTCACTTTTGGCAATGCCCAAAGTGTTGCGGTCATTTATTTTCTCATTCTTTGTGAAAATGAGGTGTTCAAAACGCGCATCCAGGTTTAACAGGCGGGGCGAGCCCAATGCCGCTGGCGCATGCCCTCGTTGCGAAGGCCAGTGACCAGAGGGAGGTTGGGCTTAAACCTCGGAGACCGCGCGCATGGTGGCAAACACGACGTGCGGCTTCCTCTCTCTAAATGAGGCTACCCCCCGGAACTTTGAGAAGCCCTGGATGACTTAATTCCCCAAGCTAACCTCCTCAAACAATAATAAACTACCAGCCTTTTTGTCAGTTTCTTGCCGCTTTCAAAATAAGGAACCCTAAAACTGGACGCTTCCTTTTGGCTCCCCATGAAACCCATGAAAAAAGAGGGTTACCACTTGTTGGAAACATCCAGTAAGCACAAGTTGGCGCTTCCCTTGAAAAAGCAAGAAAACGGAAGTCCCCTACATTTTGGACCTTATTGTAAAGAAGGAAGAACACAAAGCTGCTGGGGACCCCGACTCCTCCAGTTCATTCTTGATTTGCTCCGCAATGCCGCTGATGGACTGGGCGATGCGGAACACTCGATCCGCTGATTCTTCTGATTTGTTCAAACCGGCGGAAGAATACTCGGATATTCTCCAACCAGTCAGGTATCTGTTCCATCTTGAGACGGGAATCCACAAGAATCCCCTCTTTGGAGATTCGGACCGGAATCGACGGAAGGAAGCAGCTTCTTGCAAAAAGGAGGTTCTAACCCAGCTCAAAGAGCAGCCCCCTCATTATGTTCCTTTTGACATGCTCTCTGACTTATGGCAAAATGGGACGGCCTTGGTTTCTTCGTTCTCCTTGAGGGCGCGGATGGTCTTGAACAGCAGGCGAATGCCGTTGGTGACCTGCCCATCGGGTACGTGCAAGCCGGGACCCCAGAAGTGGGTTTGCAGCTGGTTTCCCTCTCGGAAACCAACGGACTCCATCTGAGTGGCGGGTGAAACTTGGGAATTCAAACGGGTGTCTTTTTTCGGCTGCTCTACCATCTCAGCCACGGTCAATACTCATTTCAATTTGGTCAGTGTACCCCATATCAAACGCACTACAGCAAAGGATAGTGTATACATAATGAATTGTCTACCCAGAATTTGGGTTGTCCCATGTCCTCCACAAACCCAAAAGTGGACTCAAAATGTTGTCAGTTGCTCACAGGTCCAATTTGGGAGTGTCTGGGACCAAAAAAAAATGTCAACAAAATGTGTCCCTTTAAACCACCAAAAAAGGGTACCCTCAAAAAGTCACACACCCGCCGCCCCCCCCCCCCCCCCGCGCCCCCCCCCCATGCCCCTCCCCAAGTAAAAAGAAAGAAGCAAAACATTGGGGAAAAAAAAAAAAAAACGGAATTGTGGTTGTCTTTTTGGTGTCCCTTCAAGCCAACCTCCGATACATATGACCCGCCTCGTTCTCGCAGTAACGAGGGTCAATCTCGTCGAAGGGCCCTTGCAGCCAGGCCTGCCAGTGTGTGAGTGCGGACAGCGGTCAATTTGGGAACCAACGTGAAACCAACATGAAAGGAAACAGATTTGGAAGAAAGCAAGAGAAGCAAACATGTAGGAGAACCACAATGGATTGAAACCACCTGAGAGGACACCAACTTTGGATCAAAAGAAAGCAACACGAAAACCAAATAGTCGGAAACTTGAAGGGACATCCCCTCGCAAGTAGAGACTTGTCCCTTGGAAAATCAAGGCCTCTGCTCTCTACCAATTGCCGGCCTCCTTGTTGCTGACCCAATCGCCGGCTGTCTTCCACAGGTTATTGTAGGGCTCGAATGTTTTGATCATGGTCTGAAGGTTCGAGTAATCGGTCTGATCCTCACATGGGATAAAGGAAACATGCGAAGCCAATATCTCAGAGAAAAAGGTCGTGCTCCTATGATGGATCCATTCATGACTTGACTATTTGACAACACACTACAATTTGGCGTCACACAGCCAATAGCAACTTAGATCCCCGCCCGATCGAACAACACCTGGCCCAAGGCACACAAGCAAGCACACGTCTGCCAACGTCCGATTGACGTTACCACATCCAAAGCTCGCAAAGCTCTGCCATAGGGCGCCTCGCGCGAGTTGAAGAGCCGCACCAGATCTTGACAGGCCTTGATCTCATCGGAGGTTTCGCGCACCTGACGCTGGGAGCGCGAAGAAAAGCAGCGAAGAAGCACCTGCCAAATGCCTTGTCGGCAACCTCTCTCACTTGCGCCAAGTCTTTGTACTGCGAGAAGCCCTCGATGACCTGTGCAGCAAGTCGAACAAACACACGCGCTCGGACGACTGACCTATTTGTCAAGGGTAAGGGACATTTCCAAACTTTTGAGGGGGCCTTCCAGCAAGGGTGATTTGACATATGTATGTCTATTAGTCTATATATATATATACAGAGACACGATGAACAATGCAGGCATGTTGAAGCAGCCTCTTCCAACCTTCCAAGTCGTGCATCGAACTCCTGGCCAAGGGCGCTGGAAGTGAACCAAACCCACTATCAGGACTCACAAGGCTGCAGAAAACATAGCTTTTGGATCTGTATCAAAATACGGGAAACCCCTATTCAAGAGTTGAAAGAGAACCACAAGGGCACTAACCACTTGGAGGCGCCCCTCATTTTGAACACTCTCAAATCTGACCATCTTCAGCCCAGCACACCACCATCAAGAAATGAAACAGCTTGAACAAGCCTCTCCGCCCGCCTTCTGCTCTGTCTCTTGAGACGTCAAGAAAGAGTCATGTTGAGTGTTGAGGTACCTCAGAACCCCAACAAGATCTCAGCAGCGCTAGTCTCACGATTCGGGGAGACACCAAAATGCCTTATGTACGCCCGCTTCACCATGCGCATACGGAACGGGTCCTGTAATTTGTAGAAGCCCCCAAGTCAATCAAAAAGAACCCACCAAAAAAAAAACTGTGGTGTCCCTTTACCCCGAGCCTTGAAGAAAAACCGGAAAAAAAGCCTCAAGACTCAAAGGGTTCCCTCTATTTCCCCTTGAAATATCACTACCAAATAGATCTCACCTTACCCAGGCTTCAAGTTATGAAACTAAAAGGACCAAGAAAGAAGGTACCAAAAAGGACAACAAGTTCTTGAGCAGCGGGCTCCAAGCACTTTGCCGCCCTTGACTTCACCAGTCCGGAGGACCCAAACCTCGGCGAAACGAAGACGACGGGGCTCCGCAAATTTGCTTTGGAAGCCCCGCTGGTGCTTTGTTTGCGTACAAAGAAGCGGCACTTTTGCTCGAAAAGAAACAAAGTGGAGGCAGCTTCGGCTACTTGTTTCAGGCGAGCATGAACTTTTTGTGCCCAACGCACGGCTGCAGCTGCTTGCCACCAGTCCCGGCTCAACATCGGTGACTCTGGGGGCCGTACATTTTAGCCCAGGTCTCTGTATTCTTGAAGCTACCCTTTGACAAGATGGTTCAAAGAGAAACAACCAAAAACAGGCTTGGGGGCGTCCTCTATGTCAACAGCCTGTAGCCCATGTCGCCATCTCCAAGTCGACACCCAGGCCACCCCGACATCTCCCAGCGCGCTTCCAGCGTCTCCGCCGGCAGCTCGTAGCGCAAGTCTTCGACCTGAAAGGAAACTCAATACAACCTTACAGTGATGAAATAAGCCCTTTGCTGTTATGAATGAACTCCAAAACCTGGTTGATGAAAGGCGGGGAAGTGTCCCGATCTAGAGGAAACCCTTCACTTGCGGAAAAAACACCCAATAAATCCTGGCTCGACATTCCCAAACTCCTGACTCGTCGTGGCTCAAAGTAGCAAACTAAATCATTCCATCAGCTCCGATGAGAAAAAGAACTGGCATTCTGCACATTGGTGGAGCTGTTTGTCACGTTATTTGCGAGGAAGAGTGACAGGCATCGCAGTTAGTTACGCTGCACGGCTGTAACCTCAGCGATTTCATTCTTGATGTTTCAAACAGTCGTTTCCCTTTGAAACTTCATACTGCAACCCTTTTTGGGGTACCGAGCCTCCATAAAAGACACTCCCGTTTCTGGCGGTTCCTCGGGCTGCCCCGCCAAATCGGTCAGTTGCATGGCTTCGTTCACGGCGCCCGCCAGCTTGGTGAGCTCGTTGGGGATGGACTTCAGGAAGTCCTACGACCAACATCGGTGAGGATGCTCAGGCAAACCAAACCATTGAGGGAGGTGTTGGTCAGGGAAAGCAAAAGGAAACCACACCTTTTTGTGGAGGGGCTCCCATTTCAGAAAATGACAGTCGGTACGGAAAGCCGCAAGGGCTGGCAAAAGCAGAGGGGGCCAGCCACATCCCCTAGTCATGATGATTGCTACTGTATCAACGGATATGCTCTCCACTTGTAGCAGCGCAAACTCCGCAACACCGATCAAGCCCCGGCAAATAACCAGCTGGCTGCCCATTCGCCAGGCTCAGGCCCCAATCATCTCTCCCATCTGCGTGCCTTCATATCCGAGCACTCTTCGATGGTCGAAACCTACAATCGATTCGGTGCCGTGCTCGCGGACAAAATGACTTGCTTTCCCAAGAGGACTCGGAAAAATTGGGGCCCATGCTCCCGGCTTTTGTCCCAAATGCGGGTTGGCTCCCCCATGTCCTCTCCAACCAACACTAGACTCCTCCCTGCAAATGAATATGGAATTCAAAAAGACGTGTAGGCCTTTCGTGATAAAGTAATCATCAAGCCTCCATTAGGCATGTGTCAACATACGGAGGGCCCAAAAACATGTGCTTCCCTTTTCGTTGTCCTTTGAAACGGGGTCAAAATGATACCCTCCAACAGCCCGATCATCTTGTCTTTTGCTCGCCTGCGTCTGCAGCTTGGCAAAGATACCCTCGAAGGCTGCTGTGGCCTCAACAAAATGACCGACCGAGACCAGAGTCTACCCAAAACCTGGCATTGAAGGGGTCATCAATCCTGGTACTCAAAACCTTGCGTTAAACAAGTCGACACAAAGCTGCTTTGATTGGGGCGCATTGATCTTAGGGAACGACCTCGTGGATGTTCACCTCCAATGCCTCGGCCAAGTGCTTCAGCAGCAGCTGCACTGACCTCGGGCCAAAAGAACCAGGTGCAGGATGCACCCAGATTTGACTTGATTTACACCTGGGTGAAAGTTTTGGTGGGTAAGTAAACAGGGGATTGCGAAACTGTGCATGGCTCTGCCATGCTGGCTAAAACTAAGCATGGCTGTGCAGGAATCCCTTTGCAAAAGGGTTGCTGAGGTTCCAGCTGCTCCAACTTTTCAACCAGCTGAGATCGGATGGTTCCGGACTCGATGCCTTGGGCGAGACTATGCAAATTTGGGTTGAGCTTTGATTAGGGACCCTTTCGGGGACTTCATTTATGTCCACCAACCATGTGGAGGGAGATCTCCCATCCAACTTCATGGCCACATCTCCAACAAGGGAGAAAAGCGAGGCTCCAACGATAGAATCCGACGGTCATGGACTCCTGAAGCAGCATCTTTGGTTAGCGTTTGCCGGGGACAGACTGGTCCAAAAATATGGCCATGCAACAAGGTTTGCTTGGTCATGCGGTGACAATATTGCTGTGTCCCAGCAGTTTCTTGGACGATCCTCCTGCGCTCACATCCTTGCTTCAGCCATGTATGCAATCGCACGTTTACTTGAGCTTTTTGATATCTGCTGAATGCTTGTGAGCAGGCAGGCAAGGAAATGACACGACGCATTATCATTGATCGCGGAGCCATCCCTCTGTCCTTGTCATCGGGGATGGACTCTTGGATCTGCCGAATTCGCCTCAGGAAAAAGAAGGCCGTGGCACGAGATCTGGGTCCCATTTCAGCAGGCAAAACCCATGAATGTCATGTTCTTTTGAGACACAGCTGTTCTACCAACATGGTGATACAGGTTTTCGTAGCCTCTGTAAGCAATGTTAGGTGCTGCTCTTTTTCTCACTTAAGATCCATATGCCGCAGCTGATGAGGAGCCCCAACCAGGGCCCGCGCTCCTTCCTCTCCTCGATCATGGCCCTCACTGCAGAGGGAGGCTGCTGCTCTGACTGAAGCCGGGCTGCAGCAGCCTGGCAAACGAGTGGGCCGTTGGTATCCTGTGGTTCTTAGTGGTTCGTTGATACCTTACAACTTTAGAGGGAGATGGCATAAATCCTTCTAGTCTCTAAAAGTTGAAAAGTCTAAAGTCCAAAGTCTAAGTCTGAGGGTGTGGTTGTCAAAGGCTCCCCGAAAAGCCTCCCCCGAAAAGGCTCAATAGTCTACAGGCCCTGGTAGCAGCACGCGGTAGGGCCTGAAAGGATGGGGTCTATGATGGGACCTTGCCTGGTGATTCCCGTCGGGCCTTTGATTTTAAACAGCCCCAACGGAAAATGCAGGGAGCTCAAGACCTTCAAGGGCCAACCGCAATGTGTTCTATTCAGTGACAGAAAGGCTTGAGGGACCTCAGCGCTAGGGAGGATCGGCGACGGCAGTTTCGGCTTGCCAGGCCTCCGGATCCATGACCACGACATCCTGAAAACACAAAGAACTCCCTTGCGAGTTGAAGCGGCATCAAATGCTGCGTGTATGGTACATGTGCTGGCATGGCAAAGCAGTATCTCAACCCCCACCATCACACCAAAAACTCAAAGCTGCAAAGCTGCCAGGTGGAGCCTGTCACATTGAGCCCTCCGAAGGCTCCGTCCTTGAAACTCTCGAAGGCCTCGAGGATCCCTTGCAGCCATGGCTCCTGCTTGGCCAGGGTCTCCTGATCGGGCGTCAAACGCGAGGGAAACTCCACAAACCCAGGTGGGGTTGCTCAATCACCGGCCCCAATAAGACAAGTGGTTTGCGTTTGCTGGGTGTTTCGCTGACACCATCCGCAAAGGACAGACGGGCACAATCAAAGTTCATAGGCCCTGGCCTCAAGCCGTTCGCGAAGCTGAGTCACCCATTCATCGTTGGGGGTGAAGATGGGATCCTGCCGAATGCAGCTAGAGGCACAAAGCTTCTGTGGCATGCCCACAATCTCGCACAGGCCGCTTGCATGTTGCCAAAAACTGCAAACAATTCAGTCCAGGTGATGATCGCGAATGAGATGGGGCAGCAGAACCTTCACGCAGGTGCAGCGAATGCGATTTTCCGAATGTGACCTCCAAACCACTACTCCCTACAATAGCAGGGTATGCGACCAGTGGCGGTTTGGAGCTATGCTCGCAGCCAAACTTGAGTGTATCTGTGTCAAACTGAGATGCCAACACTTTCGATGCTATGCACATCACGGAAGGATGCCATTCCCTTGTCGAACATGGTGAGCACTGCCTGATGGCTTCAAGAAAGCCACGAGAGCTCGAAGCGCCCGAGCCTGTTTTGCTTCTCCCAAGTCGGTCCTGGAAATGTCAGGCAAACGCGTCTCATGGCTTCTGGAATTCGGAAACCCTGAAACCAAGCAGCTGAGCCGCGGGCTTGTATGCAAAGTGCAACATTGGAGGACCCTCGACCTTCTTCTCCTCCTCCTGTGGAGTCAGGTGTATGCTGAACTGCTCCGCTGTCGCTTTTTTGAGCTTTCCTTTTTTAGGGTGATATAGAAAAAACTAACACACTGCCCGTTTAACGAGGGATTCCCCATTGAAAGAAAACCGCATGCAAACAAGCTCATAAAATTGGCGCCGTCCTTGCCCTTCTCCTTGCCTGCGTGCGAACACATCAAGTCAACAAAGGCGCAATGGCGCCAACGGTTTTGCCCAAGCTGTCAGCCGAAGCAACTGGTACACTGATACTCGTCAGCAGGCCTTTCTTCTCTTCTTTCTTCTTGTCCCCTTCCACCGCAGCCTCCGCCTGGGCTCATGCCACTTGCTCTGTGAAGCTCAGGATCTTGTCACGCAAAGGCATGGGCTGCTGCCGCTCTCGCTGCCAGTTGAGGGTTAAGCACGATCTCCACCTTGCCCGAAACTGCCCGGGACCCGGAGAAAAGAAAAGGAGAGGAATTGAATGGGTGTTCTTGCTTTTGAAGTGGTTACCTACCCGGGCCTTGAAGAGCGCCTTCTTGAAGACCGGTTCCAAGGCCTCACGTTGAGACTTGAAGAAACGCTTTCAGCGGAGGCGCAAACTGGAGGGCTGGATGTGAAAAATTATGCCGAAGAAAGCCGGCAAAACTCAGGAGGCTGCAATCTCGTCCTTGTCAGGATCTGGTTTCACCTGCGAGAACCCCATGGATCTTGCAAAAGCCAAGCAAGCCTATGTGTAAAGAGAAAGCGATTATTTGTCAGGATTCATGAATCGCTGGCCTCAAAACTAGGGTTGTTTTTCATCTTCCTTCAAAGCCTTCCAAAAAGGGTTTCCCATATTGAGACCTCGCGTCCTTTCCGGGGCTCCCGCGATATTCCTGAGCGTTCGGAGCACATGCCGATCTTTCGTCATCTCCACCTGGGGCTCTTCAGCCACTTGGACCGGGAGGACTGGAAGTTGCGCCATGCATCCAGGGCAATAAGCACCACACCCGCAGTGGTGTGAGGCCTTCAAGCACTTTCACCTCAGGGCAAGCGGCAATGCTCACCTTTTGGTTTGTGCCGCATCGCCAAGTCTTCGAGACGTCGGACTGAGAGCCGCACAAATGATGTGAGGTTGTCCTGGAAACAAAACCCACTGATTTAGGCCGTGAACAATGCCATCCGACACTGGCGGCTGCTTCCAACGCTCTCCTCTGCCAGGAGGAGGAACGCGTTGGACCTTCGAGGCGCTGAAGTTGGCAAGAAGCGCTTTGGGTCTCAGGTTCTGACATCATCAAACCACAGCACACCAACATCGGTCGCAAACGGCTCGCCCTGTAGTTCCTGCCATTGCTCATTCTCCACTAGCTCAGCAAACATAGGCTGAATCTCAGCAATGCCGAAGCGGCAGCGGACACACAACCATGACGGCCGTGCTCAATAGACGTCTCATTGAGGTGATACCACTTCACAGTTGCCTGCCAGGAATGCAAGAGAGTTATCTGCAAGCAAGTGTTTGGTGTCGCTGCACCGGCCTGTTGCAGGCACTGCGTGATACGCATGCCTGGGCGATTTGGCTTGCACATGGCTCCAGCTCTTGCAGCAAGCGCGTTTTGAGCAGTTCCAAGCGGTTCTTCTGAGGTCCTGGCGGATGGTGTTCACCCACATCCCCAGGCGCCCTTTCAGGCGCATGATCGATGCCTCCTGGGGACGTGGCTATTTGAGGATCGGCACTTTTTCGGGTTGGTTTTTCTGTGGAAACCAATTGCAAAAACTACGAACTGTTTGGTCTTCCTGGTGAAACCCAAAGTCATTCCATTTTGGTGATTTTCTGAAAACACCCAAAGCAAACCAGCCACCCATTTTGGGGGGGATAAAACCTCCCTATTTTGAGGAGCCATGCCCTCCTGGCGCTCGGAAAACTCCTGCAGCCTCAAGGGGGAGTTGAATGCGGTCTCGAAGACCTTCTCTGTGAGGAGGTCCAAACACATGCCCCGCGCTACCTGGGTCTCAGGGTATGTACCAGGGAACATGCACCTCACTCCATTTGTTTTCCTTTCTTTAAGGGAAAACATATTTTAGGGGGGAGGTCCCTGATTTGGACAAAGCCCGCCTGCAAGGCCGCGCACACCTCGGGCCGGATCACCAGGGCGGCCTTGCAGAACCACTCGAAGGCTTGGCGGAAGCCCCGCGGTACTTGGGGATCCGCGCCCATCGTCAGGGTGTCCCAAGAGGGCAACACCTTCACTGCCAGGTACGGCACCAAAGGCTTCTCCGGCGGCGGTGGCAAGACCAGATCTGGCGGAAGCACCGTGAGGTTCCCGTGATTGCGGACCTTCTCAAATGTAATTAAATTCTGCACCCGGATGTACTCCCTCTGCGCCTCCTGCAGCAAGGTTTCCAGCTTGCCGTTCAGTTTGTCCGCAAACTCACTGTTGGCATCCCATAGCATGCCTTTGGCCAGCTCAGAGATGCGTGCCACAGACTCGCGTCCAATCTTGCGGGAACGGTCTTCCGGCATGCTGTCCACAAAGAAATGATACTTCAGAAGACTATTGGCATATCTTCTGTTCTGCAGCGCGTGTTTCAGGCGGTCGGCGAAAAGCACCGGGTCGTCCCCCTCGAAAAATACGTGGAGGCTCAGCACCTTGTCCTCCTGACCATTGGCCCATTTCACGTTGTACCGCTGGCTAGCAGCATCCCAGCTGAGCGCGCTCCCGCTCTGCCAGCGCCCGCTGCCATCCTCCATAGTGCGGAGCGCCGTGCAGGCCAGGGGGCAAGGCCTACAGGCTTGAAACTCGAGAAGAAGAAAGAAGCGAGCCGCTTTTGGCTCTTGGCTTTCCCCTTCAAAGGACAACCAGCATCTTTGGGCTTTCCTCTAGGAAAACTGTCCCGCCAAACCCTTCTTGGCGTCCTTTGAACGTCCCCAAGCGCCTGGACTCGTCCCACATGAGCTGCTGCCACTCCTCAGGGGTGCGCGTCCACATCGTGGTGTCCTCGAAGGCCTCCAGCGGCAGCTGCACGTCCCGGTCCACGTTGGGACGGCCATAGTCCACCCCCCGCTCTTCTAGCAGAGTCAGGAGCGGAGGCAGCTGCTCCTCACAGGTGTCAAAAACAAAAAAGAAAGGTCTCAAATCCCACATATTCTTTGCTTGAGGTCTCAATTGGTCATATTCAATTGTGGTGTCTCCTGGTAGCCAGGCGCTCGCTTCACAGTGGACCGCAAATGGGACAGGTCCACCGAGTCGAATGAGGTCGGATTGTCCAGGCTGTCCAGCCTCACGCCAGCCGTGCTTCGCTTCTGCGGAACACCGCCAGGTCCGCTCCCAAGCCTGCGGGGCTGGACACGTCTGCACTGCAGATGTGGACGGAGAAACTCCCAGGACGACTTTACGAAAACTTCCAAGAGGCTTCTCAAAAGGGCTTTGAGGGTGCGGGGGGGAGAAGAGGGATGGCCGACACTCGATCTTTGCCTCGGGGGAGGAGGCACAGGTGATCGGGCCGCCTGTCGCAGCTCCAAAATTGAGCCAAAGCAAGTGAGGCTGTGTGAAAGAAGGAACTTCTAGCTGGTCGACTCCCCTTTGGTTGTCTTCTGAAACCATGCTTGAAGCGTGTGCCAATGTGCATTAAGCCGCAGCATGACGAAGGCACCGAGGCCAGGACACCAATGGCCCCAGGCTCAAGATCCAGGCCAAAAACCCTGGAGCCGGGGCACTTGCAAAAAGAAGCGTGTCTCGGACTATGTGACTCAACAGCATATGTGTCCGTGTGTTTGAGGGTTCTGTTTCAAAGAGAAACCAAAAGTAAATCAACCATTTCCAGATTTCACTCATTTTGAGACGGACCCATACGCCAGAACACAAAAAGAAGAACCCTGCCTCCAATCGATCTCGCCGGACTGCAGGCCCGCTGCTGACGTGGAGTTGGAAAGTTTACCTCCAGGCAGGACACATGGCACAGGATTAGAAGACATGCACTGACTTGCTTGGCACGCTCAGCATGTTAACGGAAGTTGCCAACACAAACTTCTGCCCAAGCACCTGTGCTGCCTTTCGGCTTCAGTTTGGCCAACTTCGTCCGCCCATCTGGGCTCGCCATCCTGGCAACAACAAAACAACTCTGGCTGACTGTCCAAATGGCACTTGCCTGGTGATCGAAGTGGCCGGGCTCAAAGCATCGGCAGTGAACTCCGGAAATTGCCGCCCCAATGAACCTACTTGCATACGAGCTGCTGCAAGTCTCACGAAGAAAGCCTGGTGCTCCAAAAAAGACTGCCATGCGGAACCAAATGTTTATTTGACACACTGGCATGTGCTTGAGCCTCAAAGTGTCAAGCTGCCAACAGCTGCATGTGCGGTGTATCAAAAGTTTGCCAATGAAAGGGCGTGTGTTTGTGTGGTGCGCTTGTTGTTTCCCACGTCTGCATGTGATTGCGTTTCATCACTGGCGACTGTTGCCAATGGCCTATGCGTCTGGACAATTAGCGAAAGGACATCCAAGGCACCATGCCAAACGAGCAACTCATCTTTCAGGAAAAGGTTTTGCCTTTAGCCGGGCATTCCATCCATTGATTCCCACATTCATTGAGCTGAATGTCATCGATGCCACTGGGCTTGGTCAACCATTTTTTCTCCGGGATCAAGGCGGTCAAGGTCACAGCCACACTGTACCCAACACCTTCGAAACCAGTACGTGCCTCCAACAAGAAAATGCGCAGCATGAGAACCAAACGTACTCTTCAACAAAGGTTGCATTTTGCAAACAGTAAAGCATATTGGGGCACGATTATCGAATTTGTGATTTTGCAAACTGGTCAAACAAGACCCCACATCTCACATATTCGTCATACCTGAACAGAAGAAGTTTTTGCGCAATGTGTTTTGTTAACAAATGACCCTAATCAGGCAAACCCGCTGCTCTGAATGAAAATACGTTGGGCCAGCCATTCCGAAAGCGTTCTTGGTCGCAAACATGAGCAAACATACTATAAACTTGTTTTGGGGTCTGAGTCATGATTGATGCTGGCAATTCCAAACAACGATGAACACTGTTCCCAACCATCAATGAAATGTAAATAAGATGCAGTGATCACGCTGCAAGCATTTCGCACTGCAAACGTTTGCTCGGCGTTGCGTTTGCTGTGCGCGCTTGCACATCATCAGGTTCACTTCCAAGCGCCTGTGAAGCATGCAATAGCCTCACGCCTTTCAGCTGCAATGTCAAAGTGCGTCATGTCCTTCAAGACCTCACAAATCGCTGAACTCCGATTCTGCTTATGCGGGCTTGCGGCAGTTCAGAATCAGCGTGCCGGGGCACCGTGGTGCCCCAGCCACCCAGCAACATGTCGTCAAAAGCGATGACAAGCGACCGCCAACCTTGTTTTCGCTTGATCTGCATAGAGCCTGATGCCTCATGTGCGTAGGAGTGTGACAGTCCACCACAGCCCCCGCAGTCCTCACAGTCGCCACAGCCCCGCAGTCCCCACAGTCCCCACAGTCCCCACAGTCCACAGTCCAGTCCCCACACTCCACACAGTCCACAAAGTCCACCAAAGTCCAAAGTCCACAAAGTCCCACAGTGCACAATCCACAGTCCATAGTCCCGATGGGCGACTGGCGACTGGGCGACTGGACTGGACGACTTGCTGGAGGACTGGACTGGACTGGATTACCGACTTTGTTCCCCCTTTGTTCCCATTCTTGTCCCACTTTGGGGTTCTTCTTCCCACTTTGTTCCCCACTTTGTTCCACATTCTTGTCCCACTTTGGGGTTCTTGTTCCCACTTTGTTCCCACTTTGTTCCCATTCTTGTCCCACTTTGGGGTTCTTCTTCCCATATTTTCCCACTTTGTTCCCATTCTTGTCCCACTTTGGAGTTCTTCTTCCCACTTCGTTCCCACTTTGTTCCCATTCTTGTCCCACTTTGGGGTTCTTCTTCCCACTTTGTTCCCATTTTGTTCCCATTCTTGTCCCACTTTGAAGTTCTTTTTCCCACTTCGTTCCCACTTTGTTCCCATTCTTGTCCTATTTTGGGGTTCTTCTTCCCACTTTGTTCCCATTCTTGTCCCACTTTGGGGCTCTTCTTCCCACTTTGTTCCCACTTTGTTCCCGTTCTTGTCCCACTTCGGGGTTCTTGGTCCCACGTTGTTCTCATTCTTGTCCCACTTTGGGGTTCTTCTTCCCACTTTGCTCCCACTTTGTTCCCATTCTTGTCCCACTTTGGGGTTCTTCCTTCCACTTTGTTCCCACTTTGTTCCCATTCTTGTCCCACTTCAGGGTTCTTCTTCCCACTTTGTTCCCACTTTGTTCCCATTCTTGTCCCACTTTGGGGTTCTTCTTCCCACTTTGTTCCTCACTTTGTTCCCACATTCTTGTCCCGCTTTGGAGTTCTTCTTCCCACCTTGTTCCCACTTTGTTCCCATTCTTGTCCTCTTGTCCCCACTTTGTTTCCACTTTGTTCCGATTTTTGTCCCACTTTTTGGTTCTTGTCCCCGCTTTGTTCCGACTTTGTTCCCATTTTTGTCGCACTTTGGAGTTCTTCTTCCCACTCTGTTCCCATCGCGTTCCTATTCCCATTCTTGTCCCACTTTGGGGTTCTTCTTCCCACATCCCACTTTGTTCCCATTCTTGTCCCACTTTGGGGTTCTTCTTCCTACTTTGTTCCCACTTTGTTCCCATTCTTGTCCCACTTTGTGGTTCTTCGTTCCCACTTTGTTCTCATTCTTGTCCCACTTCAGGGTTCTTATTCCCATTTTGTTCCCACTTTGTTCACATTGTTGTCCCACTTTGGGGTTCTTCGTTCCCACTTTGTTCCCATTCTTGTCCCACTTCAGGGTTCTTGTTCCCACTTTGTTCCCACTTTGTTCCGATTCTTGTCCCACTTTGGGGTTCTTCGTCCCACTTTGTTCCTACTTTGCTCCCATTCTTGTCCCACTTTGCGGTTCTTCTTCCCACTTTGTTCCCACTTTGTTCCCATTCTTGTCCCACTTTGGGGTTCTTGTTCCACTTTGTTCCCACTTTGTTCCCATTCTTGTCCCACTTTGGGGTTCTTCTTCCCACTTTGTTCCCACTTGGTTCCCATTCTTGTCCCACTTTGGGGTTCTTCTTCCCACTTTGTTCTTACTTTGCTCTCATTCTTGTCCTACTTTGGGGTTCTTCTTCCTACTTTGTTCCCACTTTTGTTCCCATTCCTGTCCCACTTTGGAGTTCTTCTTCCCACTTGGTTCCCACTTTGTTCCCATTCTTGTCCCACTTTGGGGTTCTTCTTCCCACTTTGTTCCCACTTTGTTCCCATTCTTGTCCCACTTTGGGGTTCTTGTTCCCACTTTATTCCCATTCTTGCCACTTTGGCCACTTTGTTCCCACTTTGTGCCCATTCTTGTCCCGCTTCGGGGTTCTTCTTCCCACTTTGTTCCCACGTTGTTCTCATTCTTGTCCCACTTTGGGGTTCTTCTTCCCACTTTGTTCCCACTTTGCTCTTATTCTTGTCCCACTTTGGGGTTCTTCTTCCCACTTTGTTCCCACTTTGTTCCCATTCTTGTCCCACTTTGGGGTTCTTCTTCCTTGTTCCCACTTTGTTCCCATTCTTGTCCCACTTTGGGGTTCTTGTTCCCACTTTGTTCCCACTTGGTTCCCATTCTTGTCCCACTTTTTGGTTGTTGCCGCCACTTTGTTCCCACTTTGTTCACATTCTTGTCCCACTGTTCCCACTTTGTTCCCATTCTTGTCCCACTTTGGGGTTCTTGTTCCCACTTTGTTCCCACTTTGTTGCCATTCTTGTCCCACTTCAGGGTTCTTGCTCCTACTTTGTTCCCACTTTGTTGCCATTCTTGTCCCACTTCAGGGTTCTTCTTCCCATTTTGTTCCCACTTTGTTCCCATTCTTGTCCCACTCTGGCTTCCCACTTTGTTCCCACTTTGTTCCCATTCTTGTCCTGTCCCACTTTGGGGTTCTTGTTCCCACTTCGTTGCCACTTTGTTCCCATTCTTGTCCCACTTTGGGGTTCTTGTTCCCACTTTGTTCCCACTTTGTTGCCATTCTTGTCCCACTTTGGGGTTCTTCCTTCCCCTTTGTTCCCACTTTGTTCCCATTCTTGTCCCAGCTTTGTTCCCATTCTTGTCCCACTTTGGGGTTCTTGTTCCCAGTTCTTCTTCCCACTTTGTTCCCATTCTTGTCCCACTTTGGGGTTCCCACTTTGTTCCCACTTTGTTCCCATTCTTGTCCCAGTTTGGGTTCTTCTTCCCACTTTGTTCCCACTTTATTCCCATTCTTGTCCCACTTTGGGGTTCTTGTTCCCAGTTCTTCTTCCCACTTTGTTCTCATTCTTGTCCCACTTTGGGGTTCTTGTTCCCACTTTCTTCCCCCTTTGTTCCCATTCTTGTCCCACTTTGGGGTTCTTGTTCCCACTTTATTCTTATTCTTCCGACTTTAGGATTCTTCTTCCCACTGTTCCTATTCTTGTCCCACTTTTTGGTTCTTGCCCCCACTTTGTTCCCACTTTGTCCCCACTTTGTTGCCATTCTTGTCCCACTTTGGGGTTATTCTTCTCACTTTGTTCCCACTTTGTTGCCACTTTGTTCCCATTTTCCCACTTCGGGGTTCTTCTTCCCACTTTGTTCCCCACGTTGCTCCCACTTTCTTCCCATTCTTGTCCTACTTTGGGGTTCTTGTTCCCACTTTGTTCCCCCTTTGTTCCCATTTTTGTCGCACTTTGGAGTTCTTCTTCCCACTTAGTTCCCATTGTGTTCCTATTCCCATTCTTGTCCCACTTTGGGGTTCTTCTTCCCACATCCCACTTTGTTCCCATTCTTGTCCCACTTTGCGGTTCTTCTTCCCACTTTGTTCCCACTTTGTTCCCATTCTTGTCCCACTTTGGGGTTCTTGTTCCACTTTGTTCCCGCTTTGTTCCCATTCTTGTCCCACTTTGGGGTTCTTCTTCCCACTTTGTTCCCACTTGGTTCCCATTCTTGTCCCACTTTGGGGTTCTTCTTCCCACTTTGTTCTTACTTTGTTCTCATTCTTGTCCTACTTTGGGGTTCTTCTTCCCACGTTGTTTGTTCCCATTTTTGTTCCCATTCTTGTCCAGCTTTGGGGTTCTTGTTCCCACTTTGTTCCCACTTTGTTCCCATTCTTGTCCCACTTTGGGGTTCTTCTTCCCACTTTTTTCCCACTTTTGTTCCCATTCTTGTCCCACTTTGGGGTTCT